GGGATGGGATGGGATGGGATGGGATGGGGAGAAGAGAGAATATAGGGATGGGATGGGATCGGAGAGCAGGGGACAGTGGGGATGGGGTGGGATGGGATGGGGAGCACAGGGAAGGCAGGGATGGGCAGTGCGAGGTAGAGGAGGCAGAGGAGGGGCAGGGGAGGCAGAGGGAAGCAAGAGGAGGCCGCGGGAGGACGAGGGCAGCCAGGAAGAGTCAGAGGAGGCACAAGGAGGCCGGGGGAGGCACGGGAGGTAGAGCCAGGCAGGGGAAGACAAGGGGAGGACAGGGGGAGACGGGGCAGGAAAGGGAGGCAGGGGCAGACAGGGGAGGAAGGGGAGGCAGAGGAGGCAAAAGGACGCAGAGAGCGCCCGAAAAACTGGACTGGAGCCGTTCCCGCAGGCGCACCGCGAAGTTGTGGCAGAGGGGCTCCGGCTGCGGGGGAGGTTTCCCTCCGTCTTTAAAAAAACAAAACAAAACAAAATTTTAAAAAATTAAAAACTCCTCATTTTTTCTTCTTCTTTTGGTTTTCTTGTTTTTTCTCTCTCTTTTTTTTTTTTTTTTCTTTCTTTTTTTTTTTTTTTCTTTTCGCGATTTCTATGACAGCCCCAGCCCTGGCCGCAGCGGCGAGCGGAGCTCCGGCCCTCGGGGGGAGGACAGGTGAAACCTCCCCCGCCTCTCCCGCCCCCCGCGCAAGCTCCGCTCCCCTCCGCGTAACCCTTTCCCAAGGCAGGAACTTCCCCCGGCCGAAACCTCCTTCCCACGGCTCCGATCCCGCTCCGGGAGCCAAAACCCGAAATGTCCGAGCTCGCAAGAAGTGGCGATTGGAGCCGCTGAGCCCCGGCTCGGGGGGATGCGCGGGCGCGCAGCCCCTGCGCGGGCCGCTCCCGAGTTCACTCCGCAGTTTGGCTCTGCTCGGAGTTTTGTTGGCCCGCGGAGGCGGGGGCCAGCCCTCCCCTCCCGCACAAAGAGGGTTGAAAGTCTATTTTCCACTTGGCTGGATCGAAATACTCCGCGCGGGATCCTTCCCCCCGCGGAGAGGAGAGCGCTGCTGCGCGCCCGCGGGCTCTGCGCGGACGCGCTCCCGCAAGAGCCTGCGGGAAGAAGGATGGGGGGAGGAAAGGCAAAATTACACGAAATCCCAGAGAAGTGAAAGCCTAAAATTGGAGCGAGAGCGTCGGCAAAGCGTTTGTGAATTTTATTTTCATTTCCGCAAGAGAAAGAGAGAGAGAAGGGGGAAAAAATAATCGATATTAAAAATATTTTATAAATTGATTTAAAAATATATATTTCCTGGTTTTATTTTTATTTTTTTTTAATAGGAAAAGTGGAAATAAAGAAGCGGAGTTGGGTGAGAGAGCTGGCGGAGAGGGCAGCGGGAGCGGAGCGGGGAACACCCGCGGAGGAACGGGGATGGGAAGAGATGGGAAGGGGAAAGGATGGGAAGGGAAAGGGATGGGAAGGGGAAGGAGAAGGGGACGCGGGCTCAGCTCGGCTCAGTCGCGGAAACTGTGCCCGGCTCCGGACCGTTTGTGGAATTTCATTTAAATCAATTTAATCCAATTGAATTCAATTTAATTTCTTTTTTTTTCTCTTTCTTTTTTTTTTTTTTTTTTTTTTTTTCCCCCGCGACCTTTCTCTGCCCCCGGGGCCGGCCTGGGGGGATCCGCGTCCCCTCCGCCCCTGCCCTGCGGCGGCCGCGGGTGAGGAGCGGGCGCTGCGGGATCCGCGGCCCCGGAGCGCGGAGCGGGGCCCGGATTTCGTTTCGTGCGGATCTCCCTCGATTTCAGCATCTTCTGAGGGAGAAAAATGGGAAAGGGGGCCGGGCTGCGGCCGCTTCCCACGGGATCCCCGCCGCCGGCATCTGCCCTCGGTGCCCCGGCTCCACCGGGAGGTTTTCTGTGAGAGAGCAGCTTCGGTTTGGGGGTGAATCGTCCTCTCGGGAATTTATAAATATTTCACCTGATTTTGGTTTTTTCCCTCAATTGGCCCCGCTGGTTTTCAGTCCCGGCTCAGTGTCCAGGCGAGGCTGCTCGGATGCTCCGAAGGGAACCGGGGAGCTGCTACGCTGAAAGCCACCGAGAACTCCCAAATTTATCTTTAAATTTCTGTTTCCCCTCTGCTCTCCCAGGCCTGCTCCCAGCTCCAGGATAACTCAAGCAGGATTTGTATCCCTTCGGAAACAAACCCGGACCCGCCGAGCGGGGACCTTGCTCGGGCTGGAGGTGCCCCTGGTTTCCCGAGAGGAAAACTTTGTCCGCGGAATGCCCAGGAGAGGGGAGCCGGGATGGATTCCTTCCCGCTGGATTCCGGCCGGGAGCAGCTCCGGGAAGGGAAAAAAAGGCATTTTCCTTTTGAACGAAAGAGCCGCCGGCAGTGCGAGCGCAGGGGCCGGGCAGGGGCGGCTGCACCGCGCTCGGGGGCGCCGGGGAGGGAAAGGGGGATCCGGGAAATCCAACCCAGGGGGGATCCCGCAAGGAGCAAACGGAAGAGGAGGGAAGGAGAGGGAGAGAAGGACAGCACAGACACCCAACAGCGGCCGCGGGTCATTTCTGGGCTGTCCGGGGTGGCACAGGGCCAGCGCTGTACCCGTGTCCATGGGCACTCAGAGCCTCCCGTGGCGGTGGCCGGAGCGGGCGGGGTCCCCGGGACCCCCGGCAGGTGCTGTCCCCTCGTTAATCGGTAACGCCACCATCAAAGGGCACCGTGCGGAAAATCAGCGCCGGCCCCGAGTGAGGCCGAGGGCTCGGCTCGGCCGCCACGGTAAAAGTTGACCAGACTTCAAAGCGCTGCTTCATTTCCTCCTCTTCCCCCGGGCACAGCTCCTGCCCGGCCCGGATTCCTTCTCATCGGCCATCGAGGGCGGCCCTGAAGGGCACAGAGGGGAAATGGGGGCCTACTTAGGGCAGGGAGGTTCAGGAGGTCCTTCCCCTGCTTCCTGGGCTTTTATTTTATTTTATTTCTTTAATTTTCTTTGGTTCGGGAATATTCTGGATTGGAATAAATTGCCCTGAAGCCAGCAGATGCCAGCAGGTGATTCCTGTCACCTCCCTCAGTGTCCTCTGTGAAGGTGATTCTGTCAAGTGGTCCATGGAGGGATGGAGGGATGGATGGATGATGGATGGATGATGGATCACAGAAACACAGGATTAGAATATCCTAAGTTGGAAGGGGCTCACAGGGATCGCCCAGTCCAGCTCCTGGCCCTGCACAGGACAGCCAAACAATCCCACCCTGCACCTGATGGATGGATCCATGGAAGGATGGATGTTTGGGTGTTTGGGTGGATGGATGGATGGATGGATGGATGGATGGATGATGGATGGATGAGGGATGGATGGATGATGGATGGATGAGGGATGGATGGATGATGGATGGATGAGGGATGGATGGATGATGGATGGATGAGGGATGGATGGATGATGGATGGATGAGGGATGGATGGATGATGGATGGATGAGGGATGGATGGATGATGGATGGATGAGGGATGGATGGATGATGGATGGATGAGGGATGGATGGATGATGGATGGATGAGGGATGGATGGATGATGGATGGATGAGGGATGGATGGATGATGGATGGATGAGGGATGGATGGATGATGGATGGATGAGGGATGGATGGATGATGGATGGATGAGGGATGGATGGATGATGGATGGATGAGGGATGGATGGATGATGGATGGATGAGGGATGGATGGATGATGGATGGATGAGGGATGGATGGATGATGGATGGATGAGGGATGGATGGATGATGGATGGATGAGGGATGGATGGATGATGGATGGATGAGGGATGGATGGATGATGGATGGATGAGGGATGGATGGATGATGGATGGATGAGGGATGGATGGATGATGGATGGATGAGGGATGGATGGATGATGGATGGATGAGGGATGGATGGATGATGGATGGATGAGGGATGGATGGATGATGGATGGATGAGGGATGGATGGATGATGGATGGATGAGGGATGGATGGATGATGGATGGATGAGGGATGGATGGATGATGGATGGATGAGGGATGGATGGATGATGGATGGATGAGGGATGGATGGATGATGGATGGATGAGGGATGGATGGATGATGGATGGATGAGGGATGGATGGATGATGGATGGATGAGGGATGGATGGATGATGGATGGATGAGGGATGGATGGATGATGGATGGATGAGGGATGGATGGATGATGGATGGATGAGGGATGGATGG